CCGGGTGAAGAAAGGAGAAGGCAAGATTAGAGGGGAGAGCGTTCGTAACTGCTGGCTTGTGTCTTTTCTTGGTGGGTAGTTAGGGAGGGAGAATTAATGGTAGCTTCAGGTTACAGAATGAAAGGAGGATGGAAAGGAGCCTCCGCAGCCTGGGCTGTTTGTTGAGGGTCTTATTTCTGTCTCTGTCTGTTGATCTCTCCTCTCCAAATCTCCCATCAAAGGGGCTTTTTATTAGAGCCATGTGAGAAATTGCAAACTTGGCACTGGCCAGGGCACGGTCCTTTGATCAAATCCCCGGAGCTGGGATGCTCCGGACTGGAATGAAAACAAACCGGCCACACTTAAAACACTGGCCTCATCCTCCCCCCCACCCCGTGAGGGAGAAGTGTTAGCCGGTTCAAATTGCCACAAGGACTGGAGGTGCATTCACGTTTAGATCATGCAGAGCTTTTCCTTTGATCACAAAATCATCAGAGCTGGGCTCGACCGGGGCCATTCCTGTGCAGTGACGCATGTCAAGGAGCAGGAATTTAGATCGTCGTGTGCGATGGGATGGTGCAACGGGCTGATCACGTCTGAGCCATTCGGGATAGGTTCCCAGCATGGTACTTTGCATGCATCTTCCTTCCCGCAGCACCTGAAGTAACCTGACTAATGATGACATGAGATTGGGCTCGCGCAAGAGTATGCATCTCTGATTCAGCTAGTCTGTAAGGTGCATCTCTACCCTTCCTTCTGCCTAGGTTCAGACCACCGTGATTAACTACCTGTCTCTTGACTAATATCTGCCACGTACGGGCCACGTACTCCAGGGAGCGTGTGGAGTCCTTTGGTAGGCGTTTGTAGCTCTTAGCAAAGGCAGGTCGGAGACGGGCACCTTTATGTTTGGGGCAGGAAGTCTGACGTTCGTGATGGCTCTTAGTTATCCCGGAGCTGCCGCTCAGTCTCCAGGAGAGCTGTTTCCTGTGCAGGCAGTCTCTAGCCATAGGATGATAACATCGTACATAATAAATCAGATTTTCTATGGTTAAAAAGTATCTCCATGCTGCAGCGCGGTGAGCCTGACTTTGTGGTGAAATGTTAACACGATGTCTAAGATGATGAATCAAGCGCTGTTGTGACACGGGGGCTTTGTGAAACATCGTGTTGCTAAAACCCTGCGTGATAGCACCTGCGTTACGACAGGCCGTTGCAACACCAGCGCGGCGTATGGAGGCATTGTGTCATACAGGCAGCGTTGCTACATGCTGTCACTGCTCTTATTTGCCTACCCACAGGTTTTAGCCTGATGCTTCTGGGCAGGTTTTTCAGGCCCTAAGCCAGGGGCAGGCAATTATTTTGGGCGGAGGGCTGCTCACTGAGTTTTAGCAGGCCATCGAGGGTTGCCTGACAGGCAGCCAGGGGCAGGTAAATATTAATTTTCTAAATTTTTAGGGTCCCCGCGGGCCGGATAGAATGGCCTGGCGGGCCGCGTGTTGCCCACCCCTGCCCTAGGCATTTCCCCTGAGTTCCCCTGAGATCTCACATCTTTTGCTGGCTCCGTGTGCCACCAGCAAACAAGACGGTGGGACAGAATGGAAAGAACAACGTTGTAGATAAGACGGGTGTTATGTCCTAGAGTTGCACTTGAAACGTGGGGAACGGTCCTGATTCTCCAGCAAGAGTGTGTGCGTTGGGGTTGGGGGGGCAGGGGCGGATCCAGGGGGATGTACTCGCACCCCACTTTGATTCCTGTACTCGCCCCCCACTTTGATTCCTGCGGCACCGGAAGTTTAAAACCAGCTGCCTGGCTGTAGCAGCGGCATTTCTTTTCAAGCAGCGGTGAGGGAGTCCCTTCGTGGCATGATTATCACGTTATAATCTACCCGTTCCCTTCTCAGCTCTTCGTGCCCAGGCGTTAACGACCCTCTCTTCTTTGTCTTGCCATTCACAGAATCATGGAAAACGAGGGCTGGAAGGGACCTTGGGCGGTCACATCTAAGCCAACCCCTGCTCCAAGCAGGGCCATCCCCGGCTCCATCCTTTGGTGCCGTCGTATTCAGTCCGTACCAAGATGTTCCACCAGTCAAGCTCGCTTGTGTTCTGCCGTTGGGCTCTCTTCCCTGCGCCTGGTAAGGAAGCTCGGTTCACAGCTCATTTGTAACTCCTTCCAACAAAGTTATGCGTTTGAGCTCCCAGCTTAAACTGAACAACACAGCCCGAGGCCCCCGGCATATCTGTAAATCCAGGGGATTTTTAACTGGAGAAAACGATGAGTTGTGGTCTCTGGCAGCATGTCTCAACCCACGGGTCGTGACCCAAAAGTGGGTCGCAAGAATACACGAAAGGGTTGCAAACAAACTTTCAAAATGGATTCTCCTTTCAAGGAGGGAGGCGCGGGTTTTCCCTTGCAGACTGGCAGAGCTCCAGCCTGCAAGAGGCTGCTTGGGGCCCCCCCAGACCTCTCACACGCCACCCTGCCCCGCGTACTCACCCTCTGCCCCACATGCGGGGGGCTGGGGTTGGGGGGCAGCGGGGCGGGAGTGAGGGGCGCTGGGTTGGGACCAGCCGTCGGTGTGTGCAAATGAGTGTTGCAAAGAAGGTGGAGAACCACTGGTCTATGGGACGATGCATCTCCCCACGTGCAACCCCCTTTCCAGAATCCCGGATCCGCCCGCGCCCGGGGGTTTATCCAGCTGAAAGGAGGGTGCGGGAGTTGGGACGGGGTGGGGGCAGTGCGTCGGAGAACCCCCTGGCTCTGCAGCTGCTGGAGCCCAGAGGACCTTGGCGACACGTTACGTACATGACGCGGTTCTCCGGTGATTTGTGCAATACGTTTCCACCAGCCCCGCATGCAAAGGAACGACTGCAGGATAACAATGACTCCCCAGCTGGCAAAAGCAGGCAGCCAGCTCCCAAGGCAGGGCTGGAAGAGGTGGAACCACCTGCCTCACCCTTCGCCGGGCCGTCGAGGCAGCCCCCAGGGCCGCCGGCAGGGGGCAGCAGAGACCTGTTATGGGAGGACTACATCTCCCAGGAGCCTTTGTTTCTGGGGCCCCACATACAAAAGCCGCTGACTGGTGTGGGCGTCCATCCCGCCGCCTGTCACCCGTGCGCCATAAACGGAGCGGCCTGGGACGTCTCCCCGCGGGCGGCGGGGCGGGCTCGGGAAGGTTGGGGGCGCCGCGGCGCGGGCGGCGGTTGCAGGCGATTAGCGCGGACAGCCGCGCGCGGGGGCCTGAGCGGCCGTGCGCCTGCGCAGTGG